CCCATACATTTTACTGTAACTTTTGCAAGGACATAGTATATTTATCGTTATAAAATAACTGAGATAGTACGCGTGATCTGATTGGTCAAAACCCTATGGTTTATTATACCGGTAAACCCATAGAAAAAGGCATCCGGACCACGAGCCATAAACAAAACCCGCTATTGATCTGCAAACAACGATTTTAGAAAGGCTAAAAAACAGAACAGGTTACTTACCGTAGCCCTTCTTAATATTAAAAGCGTTGGTTTCCACATTTATTATTAATGAGGTTCACAATTCGCGACTGCCATTGCTTTAGAAGTTATAAAGTACAAAGCTGGAAAGCAGTTTACATTTCACGACGATGCCAAATCGCAGAGAAAGACAACAACTGTGTGAATTTCTGGTGTAGGTCTCTAGGAAAATTTAACCATGTGCCAACCAGCAACAAAACGGATAGTTTTAGCATTCTTGATTTATTTTATGTCAAAATTAAATTCCCTAATGAAAGAAATTGTTCCAAAATGAGATCTCTGATCAAGATATGGTACAAAATCGGCCGCTGTAGGTTGTAAACAAGCTGCCAACGATGATGAAAGATGTCAGAGTTTCGGACTGGTTTTTTCCAACATTTGCAAAAAATTATTCGGTGATATATCGATGCCATAACCTACCTCAAACCACCTGACTTCACAAATCGACAAACATTAACGCCAATGTGGCTACGGCAAAGAAACCTTTCTTCACCACTGACATATTCCCATCGGTCGCTGTACGTGTATATAAAGTTGCATGCGACAACTTCGCAAATGCAGCCACGTCGTTACCGCGGCATTTCTTTATCATAATAAAGTCCAGAAAACAGATCTTGAACCACTGCGGCTTGTAAAAAGTGAAAGAAGTCCTCCATTACAATAGCTGCCAGTTCCGTCTGTAAGCACGAAATTTTTACGAATCGACTCAACAAAATACAGCTGCGTACAGTCTGATGTTCAATTAATTTCTACTTCTGTAGTAAACAAACCATGAACGTATTCTTTCATTGTACATTCGCATGAATATGTGTTGACTTTTCCTGTAAAACAGCTTTCATAAGTTATCATGTAATGAGGGCAAAAACTCGTATTTTGAAGTGCTGTTGTTTTTTGTTTGACTGAACTGAGTTTTGAGAAAGTTCAGCGCCATTAAATCGTGAGTCATGATTGGCTTATGATGACTTTAGAGAGAGGACATTACTTGATCACGGTACTAAAAGCATATTTTTTTACCTAAAAGACTCCATTCTACGAAAAGTTATTTTATAAAAGCAATAGACCACACTTTCTATGGGTTTACCGGCGTGATAACCCACTTGGGATGTTGGGAGAACACTCGAAAAGCTTGTAAATCACTCGCCTTCGGCTCGTGATTTACAAGCTTTTCTCGTGTTCTCCCAACATCCCGCGTGGGATATCACGCCGGTAAACCCATAGAAAGTGTGGTCTATTGCTTAATTATACCGGGGATATCGTTATATCGAGGATCGTGGTATCGGGGTTCCACTGTATGTATGTGTGCATGCGTGTATGTGTGTATGTAACTCAATTCAATTAAACATATGGGAACCTAAGTTGCATAACTAGAGAGATCAGTTTATCAGGACACTCTTTGTGAGAATAAACTCCCCCCTCCCCGCCTCCACAAGAATCTTCATTTTTGAAGAAGGAGGTTTATCGCTGTGTGACCACAAAGTAACATAAAAGTGATCTAAACCCAGAGCAAACCCAACCAAGATATTTTCCCAAGGAGAGCATTGGGGAAAAGGTCTTGTTTAACCGCACCTAATAAACGAGTATGCGTTGAAGTGGCACACGAGCTGCAGGCAACATAGAATCTATTTGTTTTATAGAATGAAGAGGGAAAAAACTATATACGCATACTTGCCTCGTATTGCTTGACAGTTTGAGGATTTGTGTTAGTTTAGACATCTTTTAAGTCCCCAACGCTACTTTTCGCCTCTTTTTGATCTTAATGGTATACAGTTTCTACAAAAAGGTTTTTAACGCCTTCACTTGCTCAAAGCAAATCATAATCGCGAAAACATTTTTCAAAACTGCGAGTCTCTCGTAGCGATGACACACGGTAGCTACTGATGTGAATATTTCTTGCAGTTCAGAGGTATTCTCAAGTTGTCAAGAACTCCTTTTGTCTCCGTTTCTGCGTCTGTCTTCTCTGTAAATAGCTCCAGACCTGCTAAACTTTTTTCTGAGACTTTCACTTGTAACATTTTCAAAACCGTGCGCCATTTTGAGCGAATACATGCTTCTGTACTCTGACAGGTCATGGGCAACCACCAACCACAGCGCGCTTAATATTCACCACATTGTTGTAACAACGACGGCGAGGTCAACGAAAATGCCACTAAAGATATGAAATGAATGCCCTTTTTCCAAACTCTCTCGCGTTTATTTCAACTCGCTTAAAAGATTTTCGGTGGAGTTGAATGACCTAAGCCAAGTTTGGAAAGAGGAAATTTCACATCTTTGCCGTACAGAGACAGCAAAGAAATGATCCAAAGAGTGTGATGCAGGTGCAAAATTTGTTTTGCTTATGTAAAACCTACACCGTAATTTTTAGGGAGTTATTATAACTCCAAAAATGGAGTAAAAATTTTAGGTACAGGATAACCCCTTTTTTGGGGTTATTTTAACTCCTAATTTAACTCCGAATTTGGGGTCATTTTTACTCCTGAAAAAGAGTTCTTTTTACTCCCAGTCTTGGAGTTAAAATTACTCCGAAATGGGGTTTCTTGTACTCCTTACAGGGGTTGTTTTTACTCTTTTTGGAGTTAATTTAACTCTGAAAGTGGAGTAAAAATTTTAGGTACAGGATAACTCCTTTTTTGGGGTTATTTTAACTCCTCAATATCTGGGGTCACTTTTACTCCTGAAAAAGAGTTCTTTAAACTCCTTTTGGGAGTTAAAATAACTCCACGAAAAATAACTCCACTGTCAGGAGTTAAATTAGCCCCACTAGAGGAGTTATTATAACTCCCTGAAAATTACAGTGTATAGGCCATTTCCGAGTTCTCACGGGCCTCTGTATCAAAACGAGGTTCTTAGTGCTCAGCCTTTGATATGGAAATAATTTTTCATTCTCATGCAAATAAAACTCATTTCACAAGAAAGGTTGTGCACTTGGCCTCATTTGGAAAGTGAGCTGGGTTTTGGGAACCCCGAAGTGGGTTATTGTTTTTTGACGTACATTGTCGTTGCCGTCTCCCTCGTCGGGGGGTGTTTCATATACCGTATTTGAAATAATTATGAGTAAAACAAAGCATAGATAACAGGAGAGGTCGGTGGATGACAATGGATAAAGAAAGGCACATGAATAACAATGTAGATTAAAAACAATGGATTCCGGTATATGAGAGTCTACCCCCTTAGTCGGTTGTTGCAAAAGCTCCCTGGTTTATCTATGTGTGTAAACGGTTGGGACTTCGAATCCGTTTTTAAACCGAATGCCTTTATTGTTATTGAAACATTTATGAACCCGAAGAAATCTCCTCTAACGGTAAATGTAGCCTCTGATAGGTAAAAAAAAAACGAAAAGAGACAAAACTTAAAACATTGATTGGGATATAAATTCTTATAAAGTCTATAAAAACATCACGATTTAAATTATATCAACCTAAAATGACTTTTTAAACCTACGGTAAACAGTTTAAAATATCCAAAAAACCTTTTTAAAAAATCTGCTTTTATCCTTTTCCAGTTACACGTAAACATATATAGCTATATAAAACTCGTTCAGGTTTCTATATAATAACGGATCAATAATAAGCAAATTCAGAGTATTATACACAACTTACCATGACATACACTTGAAACATACGCGAACTTTGTAAGTGAAAGTACAATTAATGCATTTGTAGTTAACAACATCTCACGCCTTCTCTTAAAGCAACCACCCTTAAACAGGTTTATCTCATGATCGCTTAGACAGGGACCGCGGAGGGGGAGGGGCTGGTAGGGCAGCGGCCCCACCACTTTTTTGCGCCCCCGCCCCCACTTTTTGCGCTGAAAAGAAAAATAATTAAAATACAAAAATAGACTTGAAACAAGTTTTTTTCCGTCTATATTCCGCTATATTCTCTGTATTTTCTTTAATTTCAAACGCCAGGCATTTTGTGGGGCTCTTGTGCTTTTCGCGGTAATTGTGCCCTGGGGCCGACTTGCCCCTTGATCAAACGCCATGCCTTGGCCACCCCTTCGCTTCGTTCGGCAGCGTGTTTTGTACTTCCTGCTCCGGCAGAGTTTTTTATCAGTTTTATCAGACAAAATGAAGAAAATTACTAGCTTTTTTCAAGCCAAACGAGAGTGAGTAGTGTTTTTAAGTTGATAAAAGTTTTATATTTTGTCTTTCTCCTTTCGAATCAATGAAATATTCGATGGCAAGAAGAATTACATTACTTGAACAGTGAACGGCCATAGTTAGAAATTTTTCAGATCACTTCAATGTAGTATTTTCTATACTAAAATTGTAATCGCGTCTTTTCTTGCATTGAATCTGAACTGACCGTGTATGTTGGTCGTTTATTAGAGTTAGCTGGGACTTCGTCAAAGTCTGTAAGCTCTGCAGGAAAGACGACAACTACTTGCAGTGAAAAAGGTGAGTTTGAGTTTGACCAGTAAACATTTCAATATATTGTTAAAAGTTTCACTGATTTTTTGGAAGTGCGAGTTTTTTCTGACTAATATTCGTTAAGTGTAATTAGATTTTTGGTGATGGGTTATGTATTTTTTCTATTTATAATCAGATATTCTACTTATTGTCAGCAATCCTCTAATTTAGCATACACATTTGCTGGACTGAATGAAAATCGTATGAAGAATTTCGGTATCTTCACTAATGTCGACCTATAAAGAGCAACAAATACTGGATAAAGTATGCAAAGTCACGCGACAGAAACAAATCAAAATACTATGATTTTATTACTTTTTTCGATTTCCAATATGAAAAAATCATTTTCAATTGTCAGCCCTCCCACTTTTCACCTTGCTCCGCGGTCCCTGTTTGAAGAGCTCACTCTATGACTGAACGACCACTTCTAGTCGAGACAACATGTATGAATTAACGAGGTGGTCGCTCTCAAGCTTTGATCGCGCCATTTAAGTTGTCCGATGCACAAAAATAACTTCCCTTTATACTTCTGTACTGTATTAATGTATGTGTTAGACACGATCCGATGGCTCGGATCATCTATCATAAATCTTATTACAACTGTTTCCATTTTAAATGTGCCTCAAGATAATACAGCAGAAATCTAACTTAACTTTAACTGCAAAGTTGTTAAAAGAAATCCATGCAGTTTTTCATGGAGTTAGCCCAGACAATTCGGTTGACCAACGATCAACCATGTCTTTGATACTTGTGTTCATTTAACTTGTAAAAACTACCATTATACTCTGAGGGAGCCCAATATCTCTAAGCTTTATGGTGTCTTCTTGGGCTTCCTCACCACCGTGCTTCTGTGTATTCCCGTTATTCTTGTCCCTTTTTTTGTGGTGAAATAAACAAAAACTGAAGTGACAGGGTTAAATCATCGAAGAAAATACCATGATTGTTGTTATCAGCTGGGATACAGCTGAGCTCTACTGTAGCGCCTAGCGGAACAAGGAGCTGGCAACGCTTTGTTTCGTCCCATCAGGTGACGTGTTTCAGTTTCTCGAGCGAGGGTTTTCAGAGTGGCTAGATATAGACCACAAGCTTGTGGAATTCAAGAATTAAGGACAAAAGGGCAGAAAGTGTAAGGCTATTATCATTTATTTATCCAGCGAAGATTTTAGTCCGCCGTCAGCTGTTTTCAGTCTATAAAACGCGTCTTCCTACTTCGCCGGATTACAGAATATCAGCTGTTACAGGAAACCCACACTCGCTTATCATGTCGTACAGCTCTCCCATAGTGATATAATGCTGTTTAGCAATAAACGCAATAGCGGCTTCGCACGGGTTCAGTACTCGGCTATCGAGGAAACGGATCTCTCCTGGAGCCAAGCCCAATTTCTCAGCAAGCTGCTTCCACTCCTGCCCTCCTACAAAAAGGAAGAACATGCTTTTTTGTGTGTTTTTTTCAAGGAATACGATATTAAAGGTCACAACCTTAATTACTTGCGTTAATTTGGATTACTTTCCCACGGAAGCTAATTAGGCTTTGCATAGCTCACCTCTATGACACAATGACGTATGTATCGGACTAAAAAAGGCAGTTGTGATATACATGTAATGTCTCAGAAAGGTAGCAAACTAAACCCTATTTACACTTAGTTTTACACGAGGCTAGCTAGGCCACTAGCATACTGCTAATAATCCGAAAAACGTCTAACATGCAATCGAAGGATTTGAGAGATCGCGTACAATAGTGCATTCATTCAAAGAAGTCGGTGAGAAACTGCCAAAGTGCTTTTGTCATAATTTCAAAATCATGAATAACTAAAAGAACCTGCCACAATATAAATGTCACTCACCGCTTAATTCAACGGTAAGATTCTGTAAGCGAGAAGGAGGTATACTTCGAATATCAAGGCACTCGGGCAACAGAGGACCTAAAGAAAGAAGGCGAAGTCGGAAGGGCAACAAATAAGTGCAAGGTTTATATAAATTAGTAAAATGGATCTTAAAAGACGGAGGGGGCTTGATATAGAAAATTCATTTTAGAGTATTCCCGCGTTCAACTCATCGACCACGCTTGTAAATAGCCAGCTAGTTTGACTTCTACCAGTTGGGATTCTTAATCCTGTTATATTTAATTTAAATCATTTCTTTCAGGTATTTGTTCGGCCCCAAAAAGCACTAGTTCTATATTAAATACTGCCGAGGGTAAACAAAGGACATTATCATTATCATTATTATTTTGTACAATTACACTCAGTTTTGCTGATTAATCATCATCATCAGAATAAGAAGAAGAAGAAGAAGAAGAAGAAGAAGAAGAAGAAGAAGAAGAAGAAGAAGAAGAAAAGTGACGCTATAAAAAAAGTGAAGTTGCTCTGAACGTAGTGCGGTCTACCGCCAATGTTACATACGAGTGAGTCAAACATCCACGGACGGTAAAAATGTTCGGACTATGTTATATGTAGCTAAAAAAGCTCAGTAACACTGATCAAACTTCCATCCACAATAAAATTATCGCCGTATCTCGAGGTGTGCAGGATCTGTTCTTCTTTATCCCGCATGCTCTACCATCTTTTCTTCCACCCTGAGCAGTCTGTTGCTCATGAACCATATTTCATTAAGCGAGTACATTTTTGCCATTTTTGTACTTAAATAAACGTTAATACGTACAAAAGCAACCGCATTAAACTCACCTGTAGTTCCAGCTGGTGTAACATCTCTCAGTTCCCTGACCACGTCGAGCCTGTTGGACTGTTTTGCTTTATTTGCAACCCAACGGATCAATCGCTTGGTCTCAGAGTTTGGCTGCGCTAAGGAAACTTCATCCAGTTGCAAGCAGTTGGCCAGTTGAAGTACAACTTTCCTGGAGTCACACGTTTGTGACATAAGTGTTTGTATGGCCTGGCTTGATAGTGCAAGCACTTTTTCATCAATTCCTGTAAAGGAAATTCAGGTTTCTTTTACAAATTCATGTTTGGCTTGTTGTAGTGCTTATCAAGTAGTTTGTCCAGGAGATTATAGTCATTTCGAAGGCTACCATATGTTTCGGGTACACACTACTTTTAGGGAAGGCTAGAAGTGGCTAAAGAAAACAGTGAGTTAGAGATTTCCAAAAGACGACCATTTTTGTCGCAACACTTTCACTTACCCGCATTAACCTAGTTCACTCAGTTACCTTATTCACCTACCTTACTGTGACAGTCTTACCTCCCCCAGAAGCTAGAAGTCTTTGCTCACTTTCATCAGTAACAGGCTGTAATATACAACGAATTCGAAGAGAGAATGAAAGAGGGTTGATTGAAAATGCCCAGGGGAAACTATCTCATGGACCAAAGTTACTTTATGGACTCGTTAAGGGGAAGGGGGCATGTATTAAAAGAAAATTTAATAACTAGGTTAATTACTGGAAGCTGAGTCATGGCTGAGTGGAGACCTCACATGTCGTTTTGGTAAAGTGAAATGTTCAATCATATAACTGAACTACTTTTGAAGCAAAATTTTTTTCTTTACATGTGATGTTTAGAAAAGGTGATCAACAAATGGTCATCATCTAGTTGATACCAGCAAATATGAGTACAGTGAATTCCTCGGGTCTTCAAAAACAGGGTATTTAGACTACGTTGAAACTACATTTAGTGGACACCCACGGGATTCTCGCTTAGCTTGTGTATGCGAGGCTATTTCTACTCTACTCGAGCTTTTCGTGGCGACATAAGCCCGGCGTAGTCAATCGAACGAAATGGAACCCAATCGGTCGGACTGCTGTTCGATTGGTTCGGCAATCTAACTGGAACTTTTTGGTGAGTTCGATTACCGAACTCAATCGAACCAATCGAACTCAATCGACGCGATTAATTCGATTTTGTTTGGCAGAAAGACTAAACGCATCCAGTCAATTGAATCGGAAGAGCTCCCTCTAGTGTGTATTTGGAGCAGTTTGAAAACAAAAATATTTCAATTAACCCGGAATTAACTAAAATCTGTATTGTTTAAGTGATTCAAAATCGATAAATTCAATTAATACTGGGAAACATGCAAGCACAGGCATCAGTTCACGTTGAAAATGTTCAAGTTGGCCGCGTCAATCCTCAGTTACCTTCAGAACTGGATCTCCCTTTTTCTTTTTAATAAGAAACTTTTCACCGACACCGACGGCGAAACAGCACTAATCATAGCCTTTAACCATCGCTTCGAAAATTGTTTGTTTCGCGTTTTCCCTCTATGACATCTTTGCGTACTGGTGTTTGAAATTGAAGCCAATACATAAATTATTTCAACGCAACACCTTGTTTGAAAGCAAATGAAACTGCTTTTATGTTCGATTTTTGAATGCAGTGTTCGATTATCTTCGATTGGCCAAATTTTTGGGTGAGTTTGATTGCGTTCGATTGCCGAACCCAATCGAAGTCAATCGAACGACTGGAGTTCGATTGGGTTCGATTACCGAACGTTCGATTGACTACGCCGGGCATAAGATTGAAGCTATCCGTTACAGTACGAACGGGAACGGCACAGAACTGGAACAAGTCGTTCACACACATCGAACATACCAATGGAGCGGTTCACAGAGAGAGATTGGTGCACTAAATCCCAATCCTCTCTTCTGAATAATTACTTCCGTCTCAATGGGTTCCAGTCCTCGGTCTTGCTCATTTACTATCGCTACGGTCCAAATACCTGTTAACACTGCGACGATGAGTGGGGGACACATCCGATATGTGACGATCCGAGTTCAAGATTCGTTCCGTTTCAGAAATCGCACTTAAATCACTGTTCTAATGTGTGAACAGAAGCCCTGTCCGGTATGGTTGTCGTGCCGGCGCAAAAGCTATCTGCGACAGTGTCAACATAGCCTTACTAGTTCAGCGTTCTTGTGTGACAGTAGAAGCCTTATCTGGTATGTTTTTCGTGTTGGCGCAAAAGTTATCCGGAATGGTGTAATAGGTTTGCTGCCACCACTTTGGTGAGAAAACACTGAGACTATAAATTACAAAGCGAGGGAGTATGGGAATCCAACGACTGACTGTGTGGGATCGCCTGGATTGGTTGTACATGTGTTATGGTAATTTACCGCATGTTAGTGTATTCACCTGTTCATTTGAAATCTTAAACCAAGGTGCAAACCGTTTGACGTGGACTTTGTCGTTTTCTGCAGTACAACACCTGCGACACCTGATGAACTCTTTAGCGCCACACAAATCCGACTCAAACAGAAAGTGCAGACATTCCTCTTTCTCACACGACCACTGCTTGTGATGTTTGCAGTAGTAACTCGCTTTACGTTCTTGACAGCAGACGGAGCAAATCACACCTAATTTATACTTCATGTTCTTAAACCAGAAGAATTCTTTTCGCATGCATTCAAGCATCAGCCCCAGTTGTCTGCGCACGGCACGAGCACAAGCCACTTCAAATCCATCATAGTTGGGAGCTGCAGAAAGGTTCATCTCGGATTGTAAACACTCGGTTGGGTTTGCTCTGAGATTTCCTCTGTGAACTGCAACTTCAATACAAGATAAATAGCACACAAGAATTACAGAGCAGTCGTCATCTGCAGAGGTATAAAACCTCGCAAAATTGGCGTGTAACAGAGGATTGTCTGTACTCCAAAATTCGTCTTGGCCCCACTGAAAGAACTGCAACACGAGTCGGGGAAAAAAGCCTGGGGGAACTTGCCCGGATTCGAACTTGATAAACAAGGAAGGAATTCGCGCAGAGGCGACCAACTTATGAATATTCTTTAGTGGATGCCACATGAGCATGGAGGGCACGAGATACTGCTTGCCACATGAAGCATCTGATGAAGGCCAAGGGCAGAGCAAGCTGAATTTCTCCATGATTTCAAGAAGGCTCTGAAAGATTTCTTTTTGAATTAATAAAGGAACCCACACCTGTTCTAAAAGTTTATACTCTAGGATGCCTTCTGTCTGAAGCTTACTCCACAATTCTCTTTCTTCTTCTCCGTCATAGGGCCCGGGTTTAACTGATATCACCGACGTAAACAATTGGACTAACCATTGAGGGTCCAATATCACCATATTATTCAAAAGGGGAGAATTGTCAAAATGAATCAGGATTCTCTGGTCATGCAGAAAGTTCATCATTGTTGTAAATTCCCAATCATTATCAATGTTGCATAGTTTGGACGCAATCGTTTTTGTATCTTCCAGAGAAATCCACTTTTTCCCATCTTTCACCATGATTTGAAGAACCTTTTCAAATCTTAGCCACTTTATCGGGTAGTCTTTGTTCATCTGTGGTAACTCCTTAGCAACAGCAAGGACGTTTTCCCACACGCGCTTAATTTCTAAACATTCTAATTTACTTCCTGACTTTGTGTTATCCACGACAAACACGTCTTTATACAAGTGGTCTTTGTATGGTTTGGTCTGTAAAGAACCAAATACCTCACGCGCTAGCACAAATGGATCGGCCTCACCACAAGGATCATCAGCATGAGTGCAAATAAGAAACACAGGGGGAATATTCACCGGTGACTGACCAAAACGTACGCGTTGTTTTTCATCTTGATTGGCTACGGACGCAACCCATGTCATCCAGAAGTCAAGATAGTCCAAGTTAGTTTTACCGTCGTGGTTGTCTAAAATCTTGCTGTGCATTCCTTGCTTTATGATGGGTTTAGCTCTTTCATGAAGGTCTCGGCTGAGGTCAAAAACTAACAGGTAAATTGCTTTCTGTGTGAGGAAAAGTGGATGCGTCGCATAGTAGACAGGTTGTCCAGCAAAATCCCAAACAACCGAATACGTTTCGACATCATCTCCAACTGTCTCATTCTCACCTTCCCGTAGTAAGTGTTTTATCCTCTCTGCTACCTCATGTGGAATCTTGACTGAGGCTTTCAAAGAGTGTTTTTCTTCTTTGCGAGCTGGAGTATGTGCACCAGACTGTTGAACAGATACTCGTTCACTTTGTGATGCCACACTTGATGCAATTTGGGCCTCATTCAATGGCTTTTCCATCTTTGACTCACTCTTTCCATATAGCGTAGCCTTTGTACCTTCCTCTTTTTCTTTTAAATTTTTAACGAATAAACGAGCCATGTGGTCCTCAAAAGAGAGGACTTCTAGATCATTCGCTGTTTGATTGTTCACTGTATTCTTTCCCGGAATACACATTTCAGTTGAGACTTTGAAATGTGAGGGTCCAACATCTATCCCCACTGTGCTGTCTTCGTCTGGGTTGAAGGGTTTTCCCATCAGAGAATTCTTCAAACTGGTTTTTCCGGAGCGATCTTGTCCAATCAACATGATCGGCAACCTCCTGACACGAGCTTTTCCTCCATGAAGAGCCTTGTTATAGGCTTCCACAGCCAAGGGACCACGTAAATTAATTTCTGTAGGAATGACTGTGTGCGCAAGAAACATATTAAAAGTAAATAGATGTTCCTAATTTTTAAGTTATTTATGACAAGGAAGTATGAATGTAAAAGAATGGATTGATTGTGAAATGTGCCTCAATTCACTTAATTACTGATTAACTAAATATTGTCATATTTAGGAGAACAGCTTATCATCCAAAAATACAGTAAAGAAATGATAAAGCTCTACGGTTCCGCAGTTTTTGTCTTCCAACAATCGACGAACAAGCTACGAACAAGCTACGAACAAGCTACGAACAATAATTGACCTTTATATTTCTTCGTATCTGGCATGGTTCAAAAGTTATTTTGTCTCACCATTTAATAGGAATAAGAAATTACTAAATTTAATTGATTTGCATCCTACTCCACTACAGTTCTACTTTCCTCTCTAGCAACTTGCAATCTTAAAAATTGTGATAACTAACTCACTCGTGGGTCGCCCCATGCATATAACGGATTCCGGAATCCAGGGAAATTTGTGCTTGTGGAATCTGAAATCCTGAACTTTGGAATCCAGAATACAGCTCAAGGGATCCGGAATCGCACTCACGATTGGAATCCGGGATCCAGGTTCTCCTGACAAAGACTGGAATCCAGTACCTGGAATCCGGAATCCACGCCTCGGATTCCCTTACATGGGGCGACTGGGATATTTCACGGTCAGCCACTCCAAACCATTGCATAACTAGTATTAATATACACATAAACTCTTATTGAGCACTCTCAGTTTTACAAAGTAGAATTTCTGCTTATTTCTTTGAGCTTGCTTAAGTTACTAAATGAGTAAAATACATATAACGTGAAAAAGAGAAAGAAATTTCAGCCGTACAGACAAAACCTATAGAGTTCTATTATATGGCAAAATAGGGCCTGCTTCAGACGACCAACAGATAAACCCCGATAATACGGCCACTGAGGGGACCATAAAAAGTGTCAAGCGGGTCATGTTAAATTAAAACATCTTTTATTAGAACAAAATGCTAACGAAATAAAAGAGGATCGTTAGCATCTTCAAATGAAACATCTCTTTTTCACAAAGCCGTAATTCCACGGACCAAATCGACGGAAACACTCAAACATCGCTCATGTATATATTAATTAATGAAAACCGTTCTCTGCAAAACTCGTTTGATGCCAAGTGAAGTCTAAAAATTGACGTCTGCAATCATTATATCCAGTGTACTGTAGCGCTGGAACATCGACATGCTGTCAATTGAAAGATTTTTTACCTTCAAGAAAGGAAGGGTTTATTAAAACACAGAGTTGATAATGGCGTGTCCGCATTAGCGAGGTTCACTTTCTTTGAGAATCGGTTGATTGGGCAAGCAAAAAGTGTCCATTGTTCGCATTAAGCGGTTTGAATTAAGTTTCCCTGGGACAAAGAAAACTGTCCATATTAACGAGGTTTAAAAAAGGTTTGAAGGCGTGTTTATATAATGGAAAGTGCACTTAGTTATCCAGTTAGTTTACAGGCATAACACTCAAATACTTACAAACAAATAATTCAATAAATACAACATAACCCCACCTGGCAGGAGGCAACCAGTTTGCTATTTACTAGGTGTGGCCGACGATTTGAACTCGGGACGACCGAGAACAAATCCAGCAAGTCGCCAGAGCGGGACTCGAACTCGGGACCGACGGATTGCGAGTCCGTCGCGCTGACCACTAGGCCAAGTTACCTCCCTGGGGTGTCTGTATTAAGCAGGTGTTCGTAAAGCGGGGTTCGACTGTACTTCACATGAGCCGAATGGAATTCAATGAATTAAGTTCTTATGAATAGGGCCTCTGAATAAGCTAAGCTGTTCTTCACGCCTTGCTCAGGCTGGAATAATGGCTGTGGACCAGCGTTATTAATTCAGACGCCAAATTTAACATGAGCCAAACCAATTGCATAAATATTTACAAGTAATGTGTTTGACCGAAGTACGTACTTTTGCCCCTTTTGAACTTGAGTTACGGTTCGGATGGAATATAGATCGGCCTCTGCAATCAATTTAGCGGATCTGAATTTACGTTTAGTGAGCCTAAATTCGAATTCTGTTCCGCAGCTTATGTGAAGGATTGCGTCTGAATCGCGCTTAAGCTTGCGAAAGGAATTGAAACATCATTTGTTACAAAAGCAATAGCGATCTGAAATTGCGTTCTGGATTTAGCTGCCAGAAACCTATAGGAATTAAGGTCGAAGGTATTTGTACATTCACTAGTTTGTGAGAGAATATCAATCCCCTCTTTTAATAATGGATAAGTGTGTGCTTTAATTATTTAGGGTAATTATCATAATGACGACACTTGTACACCTGTTTGCCATGTTTGTATTTCCCGCTTTGTAAAGTTAATTGTTTGTAGTGAGAATCACCAGTCCTTACATTTTGTAGAAATATTCTGTTTTTTACAAGGTTAAGAAGGACTAGTTCGTTAGGATTACGCTAACAAAACAGAATGCACACCGTGACGGAGCAATTAGGTAGTATAAACGCCTTGTAAAGACTTTGCTTAGTATATCTGTCGAAAGAAGGTTGCCGAACTTAGTCAGAACTACTGAATTGATTATTCATTTTTTAGAAACTTACGTCACAGGTTGTTTGAAATTAAGTTCATTGTCAAGGGTTACACCAAAAAGGTCAATCCTTCCCAATATCATCCCTTGATGTTTGCTGGGATTTGCAATCGACTCTTAATTGTTTGCGTACCATGCGTTAGCTACGACTGAATATCATACGCCCTTCGTTTTGCCAGTAAGTAAAGTCCATGCGGTATATAATAGCTCCGCCCCATGGATATCACTGTACCCCTCCTTTGTCAGGAGTAGTATAGGACATGGGGGTATGAGGACATTTTGCCATATTCTGGATTTGACCTTGACCAAAATGAGGTAACATATTCCCATCTTTCATTGACAAAGGAATCTGGTTAGGTTCGAGAAGCTCTAACGAACTCTCCTTTTAAATTTTCTTCCAATTACCTACCTTTGAAAACACTGCAACCATGAAACAGAGGGACTAGATCAGTGTGTATACTGTTTCGTTACATTGCCAGCTAGCTATTACTGCTAACGATGAATTCGTAACACGAAATCACGCACCACGATTGCTATAATAATGAACTTTTATTAAATGGACGGGGATCCATATGATAACTAATTCCCTCATTGAACCTCAGGGGACTTTATTTGGTGTCAGCAGGTACTCTTTCAAACGTCTTGAAACGCGTCTAAAAAGCCCCGCAGAGGAAGATAATACGATAATAGTCATTTGCGTAACATTAAAAAAATCAAGTATAACAGCGTGGTACCTGCTTTGTAACGGGAAATGTTTTTCCCTGATTGCTGAACTAACGGGGAAGCTAGATAGGGCTGGACTTCTTGCAATGCTTTTACAAAATCTTCAAACGCCTTTGGCCCTCTCCTGGGTAGAATGTCTAACAGCATATCACTCGCATCTCTTCGAGTAGCTTCCTCTCTAATTACTTCCTGATCTTCGTAGTCTAAGACGTTCACCAAGTAAGGTAACAACTTTTTTGGCTCCAGCTTGTTTCTGAGTGTGGACCAGTTTCGTCGCAAGATTTTTCGGTGTTTTTCATCCATAGCGCCCCAGTTGTCCTTGTCCTAAAAAGAGACAAAATTTGGTAACTGATGTCACTGAATGTTTGCTGTTAGTAAAAAACATTATGAAATCAATGAGACATTGTTTTTTCGCCCTACTGTCGAAACAAATACAAAATTTTGTAGGGTAAAACTATAAAAATAATTAACAGTTGTGAGCTTCGACAAGGTCTTTCTCATTCTACAGTTTGTATGATAAAAATATGTCAAATAGTCACTCTTGGAGAAATGTATTTTGAAATTGATTTTACAGTATTTAAAATGTGTTTTCACTATTTCAAGCCTATTTTCCTGTATTTTAATCCTATTTGACAGAAAATTTTGAATTTTCGCCCCTGTTTGAGATATATTTTAAGTGTAGTTAAATAGTATTTCATCAAAAGGAAAACCTCTCTCATCAATTTACAATGTATTTTGTTTAATAAATATGATTGAAATGGGGTATTTAAAATGTATTTTGGGCATAGAACCACTAACACTGTTACAAACAGAGTTCAAATAGACTATTTGAAACATGTTGTAAGGGCTTAAATGCTGACTGTATTTCAAATACTTTTAACTAGGGTACTTTAACACTGTTTTGAGTTGTATCTAAAATGTGTTTTGAGACACATCCACTCACAAAGTTACAAACAGAGTTCAAATAGACTATTTGAAATATGTTTTGAGACCTTAAGTACTGACCGCATTTTAAATACTTTTAAATAGGGTACTTAAGGTGACTCGACCCAGTTTTTTTGGGGAGGTACCATCCTACTTTGAAGCTCTCCGGTATCCCCACCTTTACTTTTATCGTAAGTCTAACACATAGAATGGATAACATATAGATCAATATACAATATAACATAACATTTTTGGCGATCGGAGTAAATGTCACGTGGTTATAATGCCACGCCCCTTTGAGGTCTGAGTCGAAAAACTGCTGTTGCCGGCATTTTTTGGTGAAAATCTCTCGGCTACACATAGTGCGCATTAGTGCCTTAAGCTGAACAGAGTTTCACCAAAATCGCAAAGACCCAATTCGAGAAATTCAGCGGTTTCCAAATTTAGGTCATAATTTATGCGAAAATGGTAAGCAAACTGTAAACGGATTATATCTAATAAACTCTGAGATTCATCTCTTTATTATGGGCATCGTTTATAACAGATGGGTCCTTGCAAGTCAGCAAAACGCTTTAGGGCCTTGTAAATGCGCGCGATTTCGAGCAAAGCAGACATATAGAAGTTATAGTTTTTGCTATTTGTTGACGTTTGTCAGCGTTTAAGAGTCCTTCTCACGAAAA